CATTGGTAAGTGGGAGGTACATAGTTATTGGTTCATTTTTGTTTAATATTGGATGAACTGTGTCCTGGGAATTGCTCTTTTCCTTTTTACTATATCATATGTTTGAAGCTGGAAATAGGTCATGGAAAGAGATAGATAGACAGGTAGCTATATTGTGTATACATACATGCATACACACATACCCACATACACACACACATGTATATATACATATGTGTGTATGTGTGTGCGCGCATGCATCTGCGTGTGTGTGCATATGCGTCTAATTTTCTCCCAGATCTGGCAAGGGGAAGCTCAAGCTCACATGAGAGGCAGGAGAGGGCGCGCCGCCAAGGGGGCCTGTGAGATGCAGCACATAAACGGTCCTCCAGGATTTGAAAATAAAAATAAAAAGAAAAAGAAAAAAAAAAGAGTAACGACACACGTGTGTCTCTTGAGGAGGAAGGAGAGCAAAATCTTAAGGCTGCAGCGGTCGTAGACTTGGGTGAGTGCGAAGGAGAGGCGCGAGGAAGCGAGGGTAAGAAGCCAAAGGAAGGAAAAGGATTTTGCTGATACAAAACGGACACGTGTGAATGTATGTTTTCTTTTTCTCTCTCTTCTCTTCTCTCTCTTTCTCTCTCTTGCTATTTATTTGTCTCTGTTTCTTCTCGTCTCTCTTTCCATCTGTCAGTCAATCTTCCCCTCTCTTCTCTGCTTCTCTCTCTCTCTCTCTCCATCTCCATTCTCCCCCTCTCACCTTCACGCTCTTTCTGTCTTTTCTCCCGCCTCTCTTTAAATTCATTAAAAAAAAAAAAAAAAATTAAAAGTATTGGTGAAGGAAAAATATATTTCTTGAATTCACAGAATGATTACAGAAACATTTCAAAGACAATGGAAGTATCAGCCATCGGTCGGAGAGAGAGAGAGAGAGAGAGAGAGAAGAGAGAGAGAGAGAGAGAGAGAGAGAGAGAGAGAAGAGAGAGAGGGAGGGAGGGAGGGAGGGAGGGAGGGAGAGAGAGAGAGAGAGAGAGAGAGAGAGAGAGAGAGAGAGAGAGAAGAGAGAGAGAGAGAGAAAGAGAGAGAGAGAAAGAGAAAAGAGAGAGAGAGAGAAAGAGAGAGAGAGAGAGAGAGATCCTCCAAGCGTTTCTTGTCTCCAGCTCTTAAAAAGTTTACTAAAGAGTTAAGGTGCAATCAGCCCGCTAAAGATCAGATAGAAGGAAAGGAAAGGTAAAATACCTCTTTTTTCAGGACAACGGCAAAGCTTTGCAGTTCGTTGCAGTGAGGATGCAAAAACGGTCCCACGTGGCTTGCAAAGTATATGGGATCGGGGCTCGAATCTCGTTTTCTATTCGCCGCCCGATACTGGATGTTCGGGGGGAGTGGAGCTATAAAATTTCTTTATTGCTTTATTTGATAATTTGGTGTATTTGTGGATGTATTCTTTTATTTTCGTCTAATATTCGTATGTTTCGGATATGCGCAAATCGTTTCACGGAAGGTCCGCTCACCAATACCAGTTACCATTGTTGCTAAAGATCTAACATTGCGATGGTCATCAGAAGCATATAGAATTTTATAGTCGATAACTGTAACGAAGAAAAAATACGTAACGTCCGCTGTAATAAAACTGTTATCTAATATCGTGATCTTTTACCAACTGTCGCTTCATCTTCCTCTATGCATATTATCCCATTCGCATATTAATAGATAAACCCGATAGATTCCGCACGCGTTGCAGCACATAATCGAAAGCAAAATATATGTAATATATGCAAAGATATATGTAATAAAAGAGGTAGAGTAAAAAAAAAAAAAAAAAAAAAAAAATCATTGCCACCTGTTCATTGCAACTGAAAGGCCTGGCTGTGTATGGGTGACATGTGATAAGCTTATGCTTTTATTCCAAGTCTTTCAACATACGTTACGGAATTTTGTTGATAAGGAATATCATCATTTGCAATCTGTGCACGGCAGCATCCTCTCATTATGTTGTTATTTACTCACTTGCTTTTGTCCATATATTGATGATTATGATAGATGTGATATCCACTTGTGATATCAATATGACATTACGTTAATGAAAAGTATTCCTTTCATATGCCTAGGAGTGGTTCACAATTTCCAGTGTTTTGTGTACCCCCCCCCCCCATTAAAAGTGTACAAAAATGTTGATTTCCACGAAGGCTAATGTATTCCTGTCGCCTTTGTGTAAACGAAATGCTGAATAAAAGGAGGAAAATATATGTCACTGTTTACTCCTATGTTTCAGGCCAAAAAAAAGTGTACATTTTCATGTATTATGTGCAATCCTCTGGTTTCTGAATCATTGTGAATTGTAGTCTGTGTATCATAAAAAAAAAGAATACGTTAGACATTTTTTGTTTGCTTTTGAAAAGTGTACACCAGTCCCCCCCTACCCCCCACCCCCCACTCCCAGCGTACAGTTGATACGCTTGTGAAAATGTTGAAAATTTTGAACCACCTTTTAACAGAATAGAGGGATGGATCTGGACGTTCGAATATTCCCTTTTGTAATTGCATTTCCGTGCACTGATCTTCTATGGCACTGCGTCTGGTGTTTTTATTTCTTCCTTCTCGGAATTAATGGATGTCATTCTCGTTTGTTAGAAGGATAAACATGATTTCATCTTGTCCTTTTCTTTAGGTTCGCTGCTGTCCATGGTTTGTTTCAATCTTTTCGCAGGAAGAAATTTCTCAAAAAAAAATACTGTTACGTCTTTGATAATAAATCATACAAAAAGCGTACATTATAACATTGATTTGATAGAGACATGGCGGGCGCTTGCGAAAGAGAACCTTCGTCACGGCTGTAGGTCGTCATTTTCGGAGCGACCCGACTTCAGCCGAGTAAGTTGTATTTCTCTCCTTTTCTCTCTTTCTTTATCAATTTATTTGTTTATCTATTTATTTATTTTTGGAAATTCGTGTACTTTTTCGCAATGCGTATAGTCAACGAAAAATTGGATTCTCTAAACATATGCAGAAACACACAGGGCACACAGGTATTATTTAGATACCAATTATCAATGGACAAACATACAAATGTGTAGATAGATGAAGTGAAACATGGGTAAAAAGGAACAATGGATTGACGTTTCGGATATGGCGAAACTCCTCATCAGATGATATAGTTTTTATTATTATCAAGCTACTATCCATACAACATATTTAATAATTTCGTTCGGGATTTTGATTGAGGAAAGTAAGACACAATTTCCCACTTTGCCGAAACGATAACTGTTGGCATTTGTTTTTGCGATATTATTACATCACTGTCCATAAAAGTCTATCTTTGCGATGATATTACGTCACTATTCATAAAAGTCTATCATTGCGATATTATTACGTCACTATTGATGAAAGTTTGTCTTATATTATTATGTTGCTCTAAATTCATACGCAAAAAGAAGAAGAAGGAGAAGAAGTAGAAGAAGATGGGGCTCAGAATCTTTGCGTATTCTTCCGTTGCTTATCCGAAAGGAAAATCGGCCCAAAGATCTTACTCTTCGACTTTCACACTCGACGACGCTCGCCACAGCCACCGAACACGGACTTCATACTTCGCGGATCAGTGACGTCGACGCTCCCCCCCCCCCCTCCCCTCCCCCCTCTCCCCTCTCGTATCTTCTCTTCTGGTGGATGATTGTAAAAACAGCATTTAGGTTAGTTGCACTTATTTATAAAGACACAATTAGGGTACTTGCATCTACTTACAAAATTACCATTAGGGCACTTACAAAAGCACTAATATTAAAGGTTGCATACACCTGTTTACAAAGACATTATTAGGTACTTGCACCTACATGCAAACACATCACTGGGACATTTCCAAGTGCGTGAATAAAATGTATGTTTTTGCACGTACTTGCAAAAAACATCGCAAAAGTAATTGCACACAAATGCAAAACACCATTAGGATATTTGGACGTAAAAAAAAATAGTGTATTTGCGTGTATTGCAAGGGAAGCGTATCGTGAATGCGTAATTAGTGTTTGTTATGTAAATGTTAACAAATATACACACACAAAATACTTATTTCCTTCCCTTGTTGTTTCCATTCATATTTCTTTCTTTTCTTTGTCTTTCTCTACATTTCTCTTTTTATCTTTTCGTTTCCTGCTGTCTTTTTTCATCCTCATTAGTCTGATTACCTTCTTGTATTGATTGACTCTCTCTCTCTCTCTCTCTCTCTCTCTCTCTCTCTCTCTCTCTCTCTCTCTCTCTCTCTCTCTCTCTCTCTCTCTCTCTCTCTCTCTTTTTTCATTATTTTTTTTTTTTTACTCAAATGTCATCTAATTCAGGGAATTTACTCTTTTTGCCCTGTATGTTGATTATGTGTGTATGTATAGATGGATAAACAGAGAGAAACAAACAGACAGACAGACAAACACACAAACAGACAAAACAAACAGAGACAAACAGACAGACAGACAACACCATACAAAACAAACAGACAGACAGACAAACAGACAGATCAACCTATGAACGATATTCGCACACCCTCGCTCTCTCTCCGTGGCCTTTCTCGGCGCAGTTGTCACCTCGACAACTCCTTCGCTCCCCCCCCCCCCTGCTTGCAACACGCCACACAAATGCATTTTCTGATTTATTGACGCGTGAACGATACCAGGGCGCCGTTTGCCGGCTCTTGCGCCCCCCGGGAATACCGAAAAGAATATCACAAAAGAATACCAGAGAAGAATATCACAAAGATTTTTTTTTTTAATCCAAAAAAGAATATTACAAAAGAAAACCAAAAACAACTACAAAGAATACCTTAAAGAATACCACAAAAGAATGCAATAGGAGCATACCACAAGACAATGCCACAAAGAATACCAAAAATTCCACAAGACGCCGTCCGTCCCACCACCTGGGAGGCGCTTATGGCAAATGGTGACGTCATAAGTGCGAAAATCGACCTGCGAACTGCCTGGTTTGGCCAAGGAGGAGGTCGGGAGGGGGGGGGGGGGCGGAGAGGCGGGGTGAGGGGGAGATGTTCAAATGGTGGTCGTTGCAACAGAGTCGTTAGAATTGAGGATTTGGTACCGGTTGAGTTGTTGAGTTGTGGTGCTACTGATTCTGAATTGGCATTTGGTTGTTTGGATTCCGATGCTGGTAATATTAGCGATGTTAGTTTAATACATAATCTGCGTTTATATATATATATATATATATATATATATATATATATATATATATATATATATATATATATAATATATATATATATATATATATATATATATAATATATATATATATATATATATATTATATATATATATATATATATATATATATATATATATATATATATATATATATATATATATATATATATATATATATATATATATATATATATATATATATAATATATATATATATACATATATATATATATATATATATATATATATATATATATATATATATATATATATTATATATATATATATATATATATGTATATATATATATACATATATATATATATATATATATATATTATATATTATATATATATATATATATATATATATATATATATATATATATATATATATATATATATATATATATATATATATATATATATATATATATATATATATATATATATATATTATATTATATATATATATATTATATATATATATAGCTTGTGGAGGTTTGTAAACATACATACATATATACAATGTACAAACACAGGCGCACACTCACACTCACACACACACACAACACAACATAACATAACACAACACAACACAACACGACACGACACGACACGACACGACACAACACACACCTAAACTCATACAAGAGACTCCCAGATACATAAGCAGACAGACTAACAGACAGACCGACAGACGAGCGCACACACACCCGCACATGCATTTTTTATGCCCCGTCTCACCAAAGGGTTGGCTGTGTCTCCCGCACGCCCTGCGCAGCGTCGCCGGCGAGTGAAGGTGTCACTCTGGCGTCCAAAAGGCGGCGCTGGTTCCTCGCGTCCTGCTCCTGCCTTGTCTTGCCGGGCTTTAGCTTCTTGGGAAGGAGGAAAGGTTTCAGGAAAAGGGACATTCATTTTTTGTAGTTAAGGGATGATGGCGGGCGCGTTTTTGTGATTATTTTCTCGTTCGTTGTTTTGGTGGAAAATATATTTCTTTTTGGAACGTTTCATCATGTGATAAAGAGAACCGATTAGAGCGTAGAGTATTTTTTTTTCCTTAATGCAAGATGCGTTTGTGAATTATTAGAGGTCTATCTTGTACACATGCATAGACAACACACCACACACACAACACCACAAGGAGAGAGAGAGAGAGAGAGAGAGAGAGAGAGAATACATCAAATAGAGAAAAAAAGCACTCACACACACACACACACACACACACACACACACACACACACACACACACACACACACACACACACACACACACACACACACACAACACACACCACACACGCACGCACGCACGTCGCACGCACACACACACACACACACACACGCACACAGGCACGCACACACACACACACACACACAACACGCACACACACACGCACGTCCGCACGCACACACACATCCACTAGGCAAGCGAGAGAATCGATCGCCATCAATTCCTTTATGTCCTTTGTCCTCGTGAATAATCTCCGTCTCGGTCTTTATTCACCATCCCTCTTTCCCCTCCAGAACCCCCTCCCCCCTCCCCCTCTCTTTCCCCTTCTCCTTCCTTCGTCCATTTTCTTGGACTTCCCTCGCGTGGTATCTGTGAATGGCATGCTAAGGGCTCTGCTGATTTTTTTTTTTTTTTTTTTTTTTTTTTTGTCAGTTGTTTTGCTGTTTCACTTTAAGGGTTCTGTTGCCGTTTTTTTCTTATCTTTTATTTCTTTTATTTTGTTGTTCTTTACTAAGGCTTCTGTTGCTGTTTTTTTTCTCGTTTGTTTTCTTATCTTTTATCCGCTGTTTCATTCTTCTGTGTCTTGTCTTTTTCTTGTCCTTCTTTCCTGTTTTCAGTGCTTTCCTTTTGGGCTTTCATTCTTTCATTCCTTTCTTTTCCCATTCTTTCTCTCTCTCCTTCCTTCTTCCTACCTCGCGCCACCCTCTTTTTCTTCACTTTTCTTCTCCCTTATGCATTTCTCTTCCTTACCCCTCATTCTTCGCTCCTTATCGTCTCTCCTGTTCTTCCCTTTCGTCACCTTACATATTGCTTCTTCCCTTTCCTTCCCGCTTCTTCCTTAATTTTTCCCTTGTTCCCATATACTCATTCAGTTATCCCTCTTTCCTTCCGCTCTTTCTTTAACCCTTCACTCCCTTTCTTCCAGCTTCCTCTATCCTTCACCTTCTCCTTTCCCCCATCCTCCACCTTCTCCATCTTCTTTCCTCCGTCCATTCTCCACATCCTCCACCTTCTCTTATCTTAATCCTCTGTCCTTCTTCTCTATCCTCCATCCCTCCATCCGCTCCATCTTCTCTTTCCTCCTTCATCTACCCTC